GGACGCGAGTGTCAATAGCAGAGCGGAAAGTGTCTTTGGTGGGTGAGTGCTCTGAGCGAGAGAGTCAATATTGCTGTTGATGTTGTTGACAAACGCTCGAGTTAAGTGGGTCTCGACTAGCGCATAATGCGAAGGGAAGGAGCCCTGGAGCCTGGCGAGATGGGAAGAACGCCAGATATTTGATGAAATAGTTGATGGCTTCGATGTTTCGTGTAAGCTATGTGTGTTGAATGAAGGGGATGGGCGCGTTGCTACGAGGCTTTCGGTCTAGTCAGGAAAGAACTTGCGCGCGAGAATCATATTGAAGAGGATATTAGGAAGGAGAATTGAGAACCAGCGAAATTACTGATGCACAGATCTTATCATGGGGAGTGGACGAGGGAGCGTGAGTTAAGTTGGAACATAAGCGAAAAGGGAGATTTTGTTCGGTTGCTGGAATGGTCGACGGCCAGCGAGAAGTCTTCTCGAACCTGCAATGATGGTCTACTTTAGAAAAACTGCGTAGATATACGTGCGATAGCGCATGACAGAGTCTAAATCCTTAGCTGCATGTAAAATTGTTCGGTATCTGCCAGAATGCAAGATGTTGCAAACCGATTGTCAAAGTCGTCGAGATTCGATCACGAAGCGATCTCAGAACCAAGCCACAGCTTCCTCGTGGCCACGCTTTTCCCTCCAGTCCTTCAGTTTGTGATTGACCACCCAAGCCGGTAGTGGCGTTCTCCAATCATCCACATCATACGGCTCGGCCCACAGCCGTCCATCAATATCTTCAGGCTTCCAAAGATGAGACGTGTAGTCTACTCCAGCCTTGCTGAACAAGTAGCAGCCATATTTTAGACACCTGTGATGACGCCGCTGACGTCGCTGACTCCGATGCTCATCTTCGGAAATCGGTTCCTGCTCGAGACGGTACCCTTCGACCCGCTGTACGAGCTGCAACGTGTCTAGACAGGGCGGTGGCACGAGCATGTATGGAGACATATCAAACCGTGCAAACGTGTTGTTGTGATGTTGAAGTAGGGTTTGAGAGCGGTATTGATAGTCGATTCGGATGGTTGCTAGAAATGGAGCTTTCTGTGCCAGCACAGAGACAAAACGCCGCGTAGTGTTCCACGTCCACTCATTCAGGTCTTCATGGCTGTTGGGGACGAGAATCGCGACGTGCCTGATGTAATGGCTGAAAAGTGTGTCTAAAGGTAGCGTGCGACGCTTGCGACTGGGTGGTGATTGATGCGGTGTATCTACAGGGCAGGGTCGTAGGCGGTCCCGATCGCAGATTGTGACGAAGACTCCTTCTCTCTCAGTGATTTCAAGAGACTCTTCTCGCAGACGAGGATGAGCATGAAGTAGCGCGAGAGTCGGTGCGTTGTGGACGCGGTACAGGAGACAGAATGTAGGGAAAAGACTGGTTTCACACCAGTCAGATTCTCCTTCAGCTTGCAGGTACGAATATATCAAATCGCGCAATTCTCGAGGAAGAGTAAGGAGGGTGGAGGGTTGGGGTGCAGAGTCAGGCATGGTGATGATGGAGTACAAGTGGTGACAGCTGCGCTCGGTGGTGTCGAAGTTGCTTCAACGTGCAGGCCTAGTATGATGCTATCGGAGCTTACCGAACCTTGCACGTACCTTGGAAGTATCTAGGTAGTGGCATCGTGTGCGACTCGCAACGCAGGATCGCTGGCACGGTTGAGCCGTTGGGCCGCTCGGACCGTCAAGCTCGGTATACCTCGGCAGGCCAAGACGGCAATGGCGGCAACAATTTGAACTCCTTGGCGCAAGTTGCCTATGTACGTTGTAGAAAGAAAGAAGCTCGGCAGTACTGTTGATACATGGGATAAACGGCATTCAAGAATACTCCACCCGGACACCGTCGGAAGTCGCGTGGACACAAGGCCGACTGCTGCCTGGAAAAGGCGCAATATAGAAGAAACTCGCGCTCCAGTGTTCCTAGTCTCCCCAACATGGCGAGCGACGAGCCATCTCTTTACCCTTCAGTGGCACTCGGTCGATTACGCATCCCAGGGCCAGCAATCCCAATCATCCTAGTTGGCTCCCCTTTCTTCGTGCGACGACCAACTTCACGACAAAAGAAAGACCTTCAAAATCTACTGGTGGTCATACACCTTTTGCTATACATCTACAACCTCACGGAAATTTTTGGCAAGAAAGAGAAAGAGGGTGAAGGTGACGAGACATTGCCATTACTGGAACACCTCGTTCTGGCCTTCGGAGAACCTGCCTTACAGGAGGGACAGACATCTGTTTGGCCATACATATCGGTTGCCGTGGGATGGATCTTGTCTCGAGCGCTTGCTCACCCTCAGAGGGTGTGGATCTCTATCGTGCTATCTCTTCCCAGTGCTCTGAGGATGAGCAAGCAAGTCAATGTTGGAGTTAACTTGAGTGCACTTTCACTGCTCACCAGAATGACTTTCGTGGTATCGGGCTCTGAACATGGGCTCTCAATGGCGAATGTTGCTGGTGTTGCCCTCCCTGTGGCGCTGGCAAGACTTTGCTATCCGCTGTTCCTCAGGAAGCTTCGCCGAGCACTTCAAGTCCGGCCTCGACGCGTGCTAGAAGATAGCATTGGAGAACAATGTTTGAAGTGCATCCAGGCGCCATTCGCAGTATTCACTGTCGCTGGTGCGGGGTGGATAATAAGCAGCTTCGTCTTCTCCTGTCTCCCATGGCGAAGGCTGTTCAATGAGGAGGCGTCCAGGGCTCCATCGTGGACTGTGCTCTCGTTTGCTGGAGGGGTTGTGTTCCTTCCTCTTTTCTCTTTTGTAATCTCATGAGGGTTCGAATTATAGGGAGGGAACCTGCAGCTGACTTGGGCGCCTTTGTGCAGTATCAGTTGGGAGACTGCGTGACAGCGACGTGGTGGGTGAGCGTTGCGTATATCTTGCTGTGGCTGGGGTCGGAAGCGCTCTCATGGTGCGGCAAAATGTAATCCTAACTTATTAAGATAATTAAGCTAGTAGCTTTATTAGTAATTAGATAGAAGAAAATTTAATCTCTACAAAGTGTGACACAAACTAAGGCTTAAGGCCGCCGCTTTAACTAGTATAATGCTATTAGAGAGCTTGCCGAACCTTGCACGTGCCTTGGGAGTGGTGGCATCGTGTGCGACTTGCAACGCAGGATCGAGTGGTGTTCATGCGACGATGGAAATAGTAACTGAACGCTTCATTACATAGATGGGTATAAAGCTAAATCCGATGCGCAGCCTTACATGCTAGCATCACGCTGTCCTTGCGACTCTAATCGCGCCTGCGACTCCCACTCCTACTACGTGTCCTACTCCGTGACCGGCTCCGCTCGCCTGGGCTGCGACTCCTCCCGCCATCACGACTATCGTAGCTTCGACTTCTACTGCGGCTGTGACTACGACTGCTACTGCGACTGTCATAGCTCCGACTCCTGCTCCTGCTGTCATAGCTTCTGCTTCTGTAGCTCCGCGCACTTCCATCACTCCTTCTGTCTAGCTCCTCGTCCAGCTCATCGATTTCGTCACCCAACGGACTCTCCCTCGGCTCCAGCATATCCAAGTCCTCCAAGTTCGCCCGCGACGGCAACTTCCACAGACTCGTCGCGCACATGCGATCTTTTGTGAGGAGATCATCGATGAACTGATCGACATATGTGAGGGTAAAGGCATCCTTGAGGCGTCGTTTTATCTTGCGGTAATCGGTGAGGAGTGGTTCGAGGGTTTTGTAAATTTCGACGGGCTCCCAAGCAAGGCGAATGTAGAAGGCAGCGAGGCATCGCAGGTATTTGAAGTCGCCGAGTTTGCCTGCAGCGTTTAGATCGAGCGCCTTCTTGGTTGTGTCTTCGTCCTCGGATGTGTGGCCGTTTTCCTCCTTCTTGGCCTCGCCATCCGGTGATCCATCTTCCTCGTCGTCGCGAAAGTTGAGGTATTCAAGGATAATTTCCTTGTCCGGAACTAGCTGCAGCATCTTGAATGCTAGACACAAGAATGGTGTAGGCTTGCCCGTAATGCCAGTCGTGCCGCCGATAAACTTGAGGTCGGCCGCGCGGTCGCACAAGGTCGCAGCGTTCAGACCGAAACATTGCTCTTTCCAGTAGTAGGACTCGGTGATGCGCTCGCGTACACCCTTTTCGAAGAGCAACGCCGGGTTCTGCCCTCTGATGAGGGCTCCGCGATAGCCTCGGTCGTCGAGGAGCGCGCTGGCGTCTGCGCGGTCGAACTGCGGTTTGGCCATGTGGGGATGCCGAACAGTCGTTTCGTGGCTAGTTTGAGGTCAAATGGCCCTTGGATATCTTCGGAAATGCGCGTGCAGTATTGTGCGGTTTGGTGGTTTGGTAGTTCGATGGTGCTGCGGAGGAAGCTCGCGTTGATGGTTGCGATAATTTGAGCCGGGGTGCTGCCAGCAATCGATAGTTGCCTGCTCAACACCAGCGATCAACATGCAGCCCTACGGAATCTAGATCCACGGGGCACGTCACACCCGCCCACTGCATGCGCTCTCCTGCACGAACTGCTCTTACTATTCTACATGCACACTTTTGAACCATCATAGCATTCTTATACCCTTCGCATCCAGCGTTTACTTGTAGCTATGGGGAGACTTCTCCTTACTTCGAGCCAGGTTTCTGTCATCCTGTCGGCAGCCATTGGTACGCATGGCCCACGACGGGCACGCACTCGCATTCGCTGACAGCCGCCGGTAGTTCTTCTCTTCACACTCGCCCTCTTCCTTTCCGGCTGGGTATTACAGCAACGATACGTGCATTCTCTACAAGCCGCCATAAAGCCCCGATTACCCAAGCCTCTGCCCCCGCCCAAGCCGATAGAACCTCCGACATTGGACGTAAAATGGGCAAGACCGATGGGCGGCCGTCCGGAGGTGGACGAGACATATGCGCAGTATATTGCGGGGCAGACGATGGACTGGAGCCGCCTGGGCTATGTGCAGGTGGTGAGAGAGCATGTGGAACTTTGCAGTGCCGTGATGCTGCTGTCTGATCTACACAAGATGAAGAGCCCGGCCAAAAGGATACTGATGTTTCCCAAACTGTGGCTGGTAGAATCTGAAGACGACAAATACGGCCCGCAAATGTCGACTACACGGCGACTGCTGCGAACGGCGGCGAGGCGGTATGGCGTCACTTTGATGCCCATGGAGCCTATTGTGGAAGGCGCAGACGGTGAGTGCTGGCCCAGGAAGCTGCCCGCTACAGTGACTAACAGAGTCAGACACACTGCCCTCTTCCTACTCACTAGCAAGCCTGTACTCACTGGTAGACTACGAGCGGCTACTCTACCTCCAAGGTCCGGGCGTGCTGCTCGACGCATCGGCCTTGGACTCACTGCTGGCTTTCTCCAAGTCAGAGCCCATGGCAGCGTACCCCGCCACGCCAGAACGAACCGACATGTCGACATCACTCCTGATGATACACCCGTCACAACAGAGCTACAACCAGCTGAGGACAATGCGCACGACAAATCCGACGTCGGACCTCAACATGTTCCGCAAGACGTTCACGGTGCCGGACTCATTGATCTCGGAGTGGTCGCTGTCAATGGGCAACGTGGTCTACGAATCGCAGAACCTGCGCAATGTCGTCGACGACTTCAACGCGACGGCATTCGAGCAGGCGACGACGTTCGTGAGGCTGTCGGATCCCGAAATACCAGGACCGGAGTACGACATTCCTTTTTCTGAACGCGCCAAGCTGCGGCCTCAGAACGCACAGGCGCAAGAGGCGTGGAGCAAGCTGTACGAGAGGTTCCGGCAACGGCGCATGGAAGTGTGCGGCCTTGACCTGGAGACGTACCAGCCGATCGTGGTGTCTGGTGGGGCCGATGAGCTGTGAAACGGCCAGGTTTTCTTTTGACGATGCTACGTGTGCCATTTGGGCGCTTTCGAGTCATGTTTGCGCAATAGTCTTTTGGGGTGTTTGTAGATGGGCCGGCGTTGGGTATGATGATGCATGTGTATTGGCGCGCATTGCTAGGCGTTGACGGGTTCGCGAGGAAGCGATTCGCAGTATAGGCAGGCTGGGTATAGCAGCCGGGACGACCACCTGGGCACGGTGCATGGTACGCATGACGCAACAAGCAGCGATGCTTCGCGTGCAGCCCGGGCGGGCGTGACACGATGTAATGAAGGGATGAAGACACGTTGGTTTGGATGCATGCATGCCATTGACTGCGGGCGCAAACACGGTGCCAGTGCAGGCGCGTGAAACATGGCTCTTTGATGAGCCGCAGGCGTCATGTTGTTGCCAATGCCGCCCGCGCGTGGTAGCTGCGACGCTTCTTCCCCGCGAGCGAGCGTCTACTGTCTAGCCCAACCTCCACCCATCACCTAGCCCAAAGCCTGCCTCGCCCGCCCACGCCGCCGACACTCCTCGCTGCTCTGCTGATGCCCGCGCACCTGCACACCCACTGCCCCTGAGCGCATCGCCTGCTGCCGTCTGCGCCGCGCCCCCGTCCCGAGCTCCCCGCGCATTCCTGGCCCCAGTGCTTGAGATCGCCCGAACTGCGTCGAGGAACAGGCAGGGCCGCGCCGCCGCACTCGTCGCGCCGCCCCTCCAATGCCTACCCTGGGCTTCCTCAAGAAGAAGCGGACCAAGGACTCGAACGGCTCCAAGGACCTCGATTCGCCGACGTCGCCCGTCAAGGACGCCCACTCGCCCATCACGCCCACGACGTCGCGCAAGTCGGGCTCCTTCCACCTGCACAAGACCAAGACCAACGAGTCGCTGACCAACACGGCGAGCAACACCAGCTCCACGGCCCCGGCTGCGCCTGCCGCCGCCTCCAAGCCGTCCGACTCGATGAACCCCGCCTACGCCCACCAGCAGCAACACCAGCCGCCGACGCCCTCGCACAACGTCCCCAGCATACAGAACCTGATACACCCCAGCAACACGCCCGCCCACGCTGCCGCCCCTAAGCATGCCGGCGCCGTCCAGTTCCAGACGCAGCCCCTCAACCAGGCGCGCGTCACCAAGGGCAAGTACTCGCTGACCGACTTCACCATCCAGCGCACCCTCGGCACCGGCAGCTTCGGCCGCGTCCACCTCGTCCAGTCCAAGCACAACCAGCGCTTCTACGCCGTCAAAGTGCTGAAGAAGGCCCAGGTCGTCAAGATGAAGCAGGTCGAGCACACCAACGACGAGCGCCGCATGCTGCAGCAGGTCAAGCACCCCTTCCTCATCACCCTGTGGGGCACCTTCCAGGACTCCAAGAACCTCTACATGGTCATGGATTTTGTGGAAGGAGGCGAGCTGTTTAGTCTGCTGCGAAAGTCTCAGGTATGTCGCATCCGTGCCTGGCATCATGTATCTGATACTAATTCCTGCAGCGCTTCCCCAACCCCGTCGCCAAGTTCTATGCCGCAGAGGTTACGCTCGCACTCGACTACCTGCACTCGCATAACATCATCTACCGCGACCTGAAACCCGAGAACCTGCTGCTGGATCGCCATGGCCATCTCAAGATCACCGATTTTGGCTTCGCGAAAGAGGTCCCCGACATCACATGGACGCTGTGCGGTACGCCTGACTACCTGGCGCCAGAGGTCGTCGCGTCAAAAGGCTACAACAAGTCCGTCGACTGGTAAGTAGCAATGTCTCCCCCGGCTCGAGTCGCACTAACAACGCCAGGTGGTCACTTGGCATTCTCATCTTCGAAATGCTCTGCGGCTTCACTCCCTTCTGGGACGGTGGCTCCCCCATGAAGATCTACGAAAACATCCTCAAGTCGAGAGTCAAGTACCCACCATACATCCACCCCGACGCCCACGACCTGCTGCAGAAGCTCATCACACCCGACCTCACCAAGCGACTGGGCAACTTGCACGGCGGCAGCAAGGACGTTATGAACCACCCCTGGTTCGCCGAAGTAACGTGGGACCGACTACAAAAGAAGGACATTGATGCACCCTACGTGCCACCTGTGCGAGCTGGCGTTGGCGATGCCAGCCAATTCGATAAGTATCCGGAGGAGACGGAGGCATACGGTCAGGCAGGAGATGACCCGTGCGTGCAGAGTCCTCCTTATACTGTAGACCACATTCTGACGTGTCCGAATAGCCACGGGCACCTATTTCCCGACTTCTAAACCCATAATCGAAAAGAGATACGATATGCCTCTCCTTCAGAATCCAACTAGGCACGGCGATCCTGGTCTAGTACCCGTCGAAAGTCCGCGCCATTCGTCCTACCGTACTTCTCTGACCTTGACCCTCTCCGTGCTCTATCTTCGCGCGATGTTGATGCGCGTGGAATCCTCATTGTCTATTACTACTCCTATCTCTTGATTGCTGGGTGCCATTGGATATGGTTCGGTGTACATTGTTGGGCATAAATGACGGTGCATGATTGTTGAACAGTAACCGCCCGATCGAGCGCGGTGATTGAATTAATAATACGGAAACCTTGACTGGCTCTCCATCCTGAACTTTCTGTCTTGCTTTGAGAAATGATGTCTGTATCAAAACGTAGAAACGGCGAGCATTGCAAGACTTGAGCCGAGAATCATCCTTGTTTGCTAGCTATCGATTCCTCGTGCCGTACCTTTGTGCGCATCTCAGATTGGTGCCATCCACGCCTCGCTCCATGCAGTGCCCACCTGAACTATTCTGAGTCAGTTGTATACCTACTGCTTCAGACAACATCGAATGTCCATCAAACGATGCGAAAGCCGAGGTGAATTTGTTCAGTTCTCCTGGCATGGCACTGACTATCTTGCTCAAAGTCTGTGCCTCTATCACTCCAAAATTGCTGCAATCAACACTTGAGCGCAGATTGCTTGGTTGAAAAGCATCCATCTGGCAAACCTCACCTCAATTATGAGTGAGGTGAACATGCGTAGAAAGCAGAGGACTACCATGGTGGTGGTTGAGGATCCTCGCGATACAGAAACACACGGGCGAGCAAAGGCTGCCCAGATGTTACAGTCCCCAAGGATACGACATACGACAGGAAGAAGCATTTCCCATTCCTTAGATACATCTTGGCCGCATCATAAGGAAATGAGAGGCGAAAGAGGTCCGCGGACTCATTGACTGCGTCACGGCCGTGCATAGCTTGGAAGCGTGGCGGCTTGGTGATTAAACTTGTGGGTGACTATTGAGTAGGGCATGTCTTTGTCGGCACAAAAGCATTAGCCATCGACTTTCAGATCGCTCTCCCGTTCATAAAACCTTTGGAAACGTCGAGAAATTATTCGTTGGAGTCGGCATCAGCCTCAGTTGAGCTGAGCGGTATGACATCACAGACACGCCAAGACGCTAGAGAGAAAGCGGGGATTTTGGAGGGAAGCAACCATGGCGACGGGTATGGAACATCAACGACATTGCGACATGTTCAATTTGACGCGGACGGTAAGGAGACTCATCGTACGGATGAGACCCAGAACTCCGATGCGTTGATAGGCTGGGATGATCTCAGTGAGTTCGACTCTGCGCTACCTAGGTACTCCCGGTGGATACTAGGAACGTCGTGAGCTAACGGCGTCAACGCAGTGCCCTGGCAGCGAGACAACGAGTTCATACTCACATCTCATCGGTACGTTTTCCGCGTCGTAGACGGCACACGGCTTGGGGCTAATAGTCACTAGACAAGCAACGTTCTCTTACCATCACTCACTCAGGAGCGTCTTCCAGGTCCACAATGAGACAGTCAACATCTGGTCACATATCCTGGGTACCGTTGCCTTCTTTTTGGTCGCTGTCGTGTTCTACCTGTCCGCTCGTCGGAGTCACCTAGATAGGTACAGTAGAAGCGGCGACGATGAAGCTGTCTACGTCTACTTTACCTCTGTCATAGCGTGCTTCTTTTTCTCGTTCTTGTAAGTACCTCTTGATACTCATCTTCAACCCTCATGCCTTGAGTTTGAAGAACAGATGGTACTGACGCTTGATAGACACCACATCTTCCTCGATCACAGCGAAAGTGTTCGCACCTGGACGGGCCGATTCGATTACCTTGGTATCGTGATACCACTGTATGGTACGACAATTACCAGTACACACTTCACTTTCAAATGCGAGCCTGTACTACAGGAAGCCTACAGTATCTTTGCTACTGTCGTGGGCCTTGCTTGCGCACTCACTACCCTGCACCCCTCCTTTTCTGGTCCCCAGTCTCGTCATCTCCGTACGGCGCTTTATCTCCTGTTGGGAGCGTCTTCCTTCCTTCCGATCGCGCATGGTGCCCATCTCTATGGCGTGGAAGAGATGGATAGTAGGATGAGCTTGGGCTACTATCTTGGACTAGGCGTTTGTCATGGCACCGGAGCTTTGTTGTACGCTGCGAGAGTGCCTGAGAGATGGTACCCTCGGCGTTGCGACGTAATTGGGAGTAGCCATCAGCTTATGCATGTGCTGGTAGTGTGCGGCGCTGCAATGTACGGGGTGGGTGTGCAGATGGCGAGGAAGTATTGGGAATACAGCGCGCAGGAGTGTTTAACAACGTAGACATCCTCGGGTCCTGCTTTACATCAGCAGCTAACCCTTCGAAATCCTCCGTATGACCCGAAGCTTTTGACCAAGGTGTTCGGAAAGTATTCAGTCAAAGTCGTGTGATGACAGATCGAGGAACGGGGTGGCTGGGTACCACTTTCTCAGGACGAGCGTAGGATCTCCGCGGATGAGGCTCAAAAGGCTGCAGCTGAGCCCACTGTGGAGCTTACCCACACTACACTACCATCTTTTTCGATATTCCCGGAGTTGCTTCGTCTTCTTGCACAGCATTTCAGTACCCAACATGCCTTCTCCGGCCCGTTTCCTCCGATATCGCTGCAGTGACTGTAGCAGCCACCGTACGTCAGGATCTAGGCCTAGAACCCCCGCTTGCGAAAACTT